TACAAAGAACTACAGCTCCAGTCCAGTTCAGTTGGGATACAATATTAACCAGAACAATTCTTTTAAATGATTGTTTTTCTTTAAGTTAATTCTGGCAGTAACATTTTGACATGAATGCTTTTGATATAAAAAAAAAAATTAAGATGCTCATGAAAAGGCCCAAACGTCACCACAGACTGCAATAGTGGCAGCCACTCTCATATTGTTTTTACTATATTAGCAATGGTTACACTCACATGTCCACAGTTCCTCACAGCAAAAATAAGAATAGATAACTCAAGAGTCTATGTGTGTTTTTCTGCTTTCCTGAATAGAATGTTCAAACCTCATGACACTACCAAATTAAAATGACAAATATTTCATGTTTTCATTTCTTTATTTTTCTCCAGAAAATTTTGATATGGAAACCAAATTCTTACTTGGAGAAAGGGGGAAAAACATAGAAACATAGAGAGACAGACGGTCCATTTAACTTACATTATCATGAGCACTCACTGTTGTAGGCAACACTTTTTATTCTTTGTAGAAAAAGAAGAAATTAAAAAAAAACAAAACAAAACAAACAAACAGCACCATTAAAGAATGCATGATCCCTGAATTCTAAACAAAACACTGCCTAAAACTTTCATTTTTTCAACGCTTGTCGCAGCCAGTCACATTCAGTCAGGTATCAAAGCAAGCATAACGCTGTTCAGTTGTAGCAGTTTTATGGATCAACTTCACCCCCTCCTGAGGGTTTTACACACCTTTCTGAGTTTTTCCTGTGGGAATAATATATTCTTTGGTAGAGGACTGAAGGAGGGTTTCACTTTTCTGTATGCTGATAGGAAATGTCTGTGTACAATCAGGGCCTAGGCCCCAGTCTGTGTGTGCCATGCGTGGTGTATTCGGGTTAGCTTCACATTTTGCTGTTACACTGGAGGAGTAAATTCCGTCTTTGAAAAATTAAAAAAAAAAGGCATTAAACGGCTAATGTCAAACAGATGTAAACATTTAGAATACTGACCAAAAGAAGGAACAATATGCACAAACGCTTTTTTTTTTTTTTTTTTTTTTAAAGAAAAGAATGGTACTGAAAACATGAATGAGATCGGATTTCTGTGAAGCAAGGAGGGGATACAGCAGAGCCAGGAAGTGAGGGGAAACCAGGTAAAGCACTTTTCTGGAACATTCGTGAACAGCACAAACACAACAAAGTCTCTCTACAGTCTAGATTATTCTGTGACTATAAAATATAGTTCAAAGCTAAATAGTGTATGCTATTAAAAACAGCAGCTCCTTTAAATTATAGTAAAAATGCCTTTCGCTCGCTTTACAGTGACAAACATGAGGACAGGAGGCGACACAATTCTTACAGTGACATTTTGGCTACATAGGCCCCTGACAGTTGATGAGTTCTGTCCCAGGACTTTTCACATTGTTCTCGGGGAACACAGATGGACCGGAGTCTGAGCTCTGTGTGTTCGGTGGGGTAGGTATCCCTAGGCAGCGACTGGGATAATGAGCTTCAACACCAGGCTAGGACCATTCGGGCCTAAGCTTGGCTTCAGCGTCTAACACCCGGGCTTCCTCACACCTCACCCGGAGAAGCAGGGAGACTGGCTATAGCAAATCCCTCTTTTGAAATTGTGCGAGTGTTTGTAAAGGAATCAGGCTTGCAGCATCATGTACTTTAAAACAAAACAAAACAAAACAATATTTTTGACATTATAAAGCACCACAGGTACAAACTGGTTTCTGTATGCTTATTTTGAACTGAGTAAGGATATCCAACGTCCAGAAGTCAGCTATGCCTCCATAGCTCACCCCGGAAGCAGACACCGCCATGAAGTCTTTCTAGCAACCTGGCTCAGCCTCATAGGTTTTCAAGTTTGTTTCTTAACACTAGGCCTTTACAGGGAAATACTCTACATAACTATGGTGCTCTGGTCATTGCGTTTTGCATTCTCACTTTGGGGAATGAAAAATATCTTCATTTTGAAAATGAATTTGCATCAAAATGCTTTTATTAACATGCCCATTAACTAGCTAAATGCTTTATATACCTCAGGCATATGCATATCGCATGGAGGGGAATAGGGCATGGTAGTCTCCTTCCCATTCCCTGCCCCAAAAGTGCTCTTTTGAGAAATACAGCCTTTGTGATTAACAATAAATCCATGTTGCATGTGCAAGTTGTGTTCCTGACAGGGGACTAACTTTGTCCAATAATCAGGAAAATGCGCACATGTAGTTTGCACATTACATCACCATAACCGCATCGTAAATAGCATTGTCTGGCTGCACACACGCAGAAACAGATAGAATCAGGAAGCTGAGAAGCTGCTTGCCTCATTCAAATATGCTGGCTTTCATATAAATGTAAAACGCGTACCCACAAAACACTTAGCCGACATTTCGCTTCTGAATTTCGTTATTGTTGTCACTCCAAAGATAATGTCTCAGGAAAATAAACCATAAGAGAACATTGAGAATTTGAACTGGGGCAGAAAAGAGGAAGATCTAGAAAAATGATGTTCTTTGGACCTGGGTGACAGAATCCATGCATTATCAACATTTGAATTTCCAAACTTACTATGTGAAAAATCCAAACATACAGAAGGACACTTTTTCTTTATTCCCAGGAAGCAATTGGCAGGCAGTATTAAAAAAAAAAAAAAAAAAGGCGCAGCTGACAATGAGCTCAGTATCCCTTCAGCCTCAACTGTCCCTCTCATACAGAGTGCAAAGGCTTCGTAGACTTGGGTTTAACAGGTGTCAGGTACTGGCGTTGTAGTTCAGGATCTGCTGGTGTAGACAGTATCTGACGCTGGAATAGCAGCGATTAAATAGGAAGGGGTAGCATGCAAGTGTCATTGTGTATTGGGGTGCCCCGCTGCGAGGCTAAGAGCACAATCTTCAAAATTAAGATGATATCACACCCAAGCAGACCATAAGGGCATCACTGATAAGCACAGCGTGCAGATATACCCTGGCAGGCAGGCAGCTCACTACCCCAGCCCTAAGGCTGCAGTCCTGGGGTATAGCCGGCCAAGAGCAGCGCTGGCTTTCTCCATTGTCAATTCTGTTAGCTTTGATACGAAAGGCAGTGACAGGACCGAGGCACCGCACCACTGCCACAGGCAGGCCTTCCTTTGCTCTTCTCTCTTAAGATAAAGGATCTTTCACATTCGGTAATTTGTTAAAACAATGTCCCCGCCACCTAAAGAAATTTGGCAACATCACAATAAAAAATTTAGAGGACAAAAATAAATAAATAAATAAACCCCACCACAGCTGGTTGTGTGTGTGTGTGTTTTTTTTTTTTTAAACGTGGTTTTTCTTTCTTTCAGGAATGCATTTTCTACTCATTCCAGTTAAACTTTAAGATGCATTTTCAAGGAATGTCAAGAGAGTTTACATTGACAAGATGATCCCACATGAAAATATCTTTCACTCTTACCCTGGACATGTGATTTCCCCCCCTCTGGATTCTTTTGTTTTTAATTCTACAGGCACAATCAATGGGTTAATGGCACTCTACATTTTGTGCTCTGAAACTGAAATTAAATGGGTGCACTTCTCCTTCATCTTCTCGTTGCGTGCGTGTGCTTTTGGGAGCAGAGCACCTCGTCAGCACAGCTGTTTCCGGTATGAGGGTAGTCAGCGTGTGGATGGCTCTCAGAGGCTCAGTTTTCACTGGGGAAGCATGGAAGAGAAGCGTGAGGTACACCGCCCTCTCTCCATGTCCACTCCCCCAGGTCTGAGGAAAGAAATAGCAACGCATGCTGGAGGGGGTGACTTTTTTTTTTAATAAGGGTTATTCCAGAGTCAAAGACAGCTGTACAGACTGTGAATCAAAAGGGTAGAAACGGTTTTGAAAAATGTTACCCTTCACGCAACCTTCTGTAGTCCCTATCAACAATGAAACTTGCAAAGAGAGGCAGCCAGAGTACACTGGCATGGTGAAAGGCTACAGCTGCTCCATCCATGCCCAATTTCCACGTGGTAATTGGATTAGAGTGATTAGAATGGCTAATATTTTATGTCATCAACCCATGATACATGCATGCGCAACATTTTACTGTTTGTTTTTAATATTAGGGCATGGATTTTCTTTCATAGTTGCTCTTAAAAGCCACCTGCGGAACACCACCTAATCTTGGTCCATGACTATAAGCCAATGGATTTTACATTATCAGATATCCAAGGGCTACAATCAGACCACCTATCATCTCATGAAGCCCCATTGTCAGCTCACAATGAACATTCAACCACAATTTGTGGACAAAAATCCAAAGCCAATTCAGGTTTTTCTGCCAGTCTCTGAGAAAGAGTAAGAAAGGAGGAAAGAGAGCTTGGACAGTGGAGTTCACTGACACATCCTTCATGCACCTTCAGTGATCAGAATAAATATAAGGAATGTTGTTGTTAAAGGAGGCTCCCATTCCTACTATGTCTTCAACCACTGGGGAAGGGTAGGTCCCACAGAATCACTGGAGAAATGCTTGCTGTGGTGTCCAATCTATGGAAAGAGACGTGGCCAGCTTACACTATGCTTATCATAGTTTTCAACATCTGCATATCTGGTGATTAGTAAACTCAGGATGCCCTTACTGTCTAGGCCTGGGCTAAAAAGGAAAAAAAAAAAAAATATATATATATATATATATATGTATATATAACATATACATATATATATAAAAGAATGAGGCAGTGACCTTTAATACACAGATGGAAACACATCAAAGCTGAGAATGGTGACTGAACAGGCAAAAGCCATTCATGTGTGTTGCATCTTCCCCTGTATGAGAAACGCAAGAAAATAATTACTTAGAAAAAAACCAACCAGTCAAACAAACAAAAAACCAGATGACTTGCTCCTCAATGAGATATGCCGGCATAGAAGCCAACGCCTTCCTTATGACTCCTTGCTAATGATGTCAGGTGTTTTCATGTTAAAAATGGGGTGGAAGGGCGGGTGGGGGTGGGGGCGGGGCACCGCATCTTTCACTTGGCTCTTATCGGACAACCAGGCAAGCTACACAAAGTTTGGAAGGACCTATGCAGTCATCATGGCAGAAAGCTCCGCAGCCTTTGCACACGATCATGGCTTTGAGCCGGCAAGAACATTTCAGCTCTAACTCGTCTGCGTTGCTGTTGTCTGCGAAGTTCTGAACCGTCATCGGAGTGTTCTGACCTGCCAGCCCTGTGGCGGTGGCGGGGCTAGAGCCACTTCCCAGAATCCCAATGGACTTCTCAATGGCAGATGCTGCCCTTTTGAAATTTGTGCTCCCAAAGTGTATGGTTGGGTAACTTCCACAGAGTGGTTGTTGCTGTGGTACTGGTATTTTTTGAGCAGCTAGTTGGGCGAAGGGCTTCTGGGGCTCAGAGAGCAAGTAGGAAGAAAACTCTGCATTCTTTAACGCAAATGCCTTCAGCTGTTCTTTCACTTCATTCTGGTCATATGAAACCTGTTTCATGCCCAGTTCACAGCTGCTGCTTAAACCTTCCTCAAAAGAAAGAGGTTCTGATTTGATATTGCTACATAGGCCCGTGGACTGGGGCCAACTGAGTCGCTTAGTGGTTTCCATGGTGACTGGCGGTTGCTTCTGATCGGATGGGACGTCTACAGTTGGGAGAGGAGGAGGAGGTAGTGGAGGTGGCGGAGGGGGTGGCGGGGGCAGGGACAAGGGCGGAGGGGGCGGTGGGGGAGGCGGCGGGGGAGGTGGCAGCGGAAGATGGACCACTGCTTTGCCTGGCATTGTGTGTGCGGTGCCTCCCCCGTCGTCGCCTTCTTTTAGGGGCACGTTGGGGGACAGCATATTAGCTAGTCTTAGCTGGTGAGGTGCTGAAGGAAGATTAACATCTCCCAGTGCCTTTTGTTCAAGATGCCTGTTGAAGGCAAATGCACTGCAGCCCACTGGGGTCTTGGGAGAGGTCTGTAACAGAGCAGCAGTGGGAAGGGGTCCCCTGGCAGCCATGGGCATTTGGTAGAACTGCTGTCTGTGGGAGGTACCGGTGTCAGCATGGAAGCCATCGTTTTTGTTCACATGGAACAGGCCAGGCTGGAAGCTACATGCAGGCAACAGCCGCTTCTGCTGTTTGACCTCGGGGCTGGGCATGATCCTGTTGGCCATGGAGGGCTTACTGAGTCGCTCTTGCTTAAATGGCTGACTGGGTCCTAGCTGACTCATGCCTGGACTGATGACACAGGGTACCGCTTTGACATCTGGCACCATCACCACCTTCCCTGGCTCGCACTTGACTTGAGCGTGTTCTCCCACCGTCCTGGCTGCTCTCTTTTTGGGATGGTTTTCTCGCTTTCTCATTTGGAGTGGCGCTAGAGTCCCTGCCAGATAGCCCTTACCGTCTGGATTTGGAGAGCTGGATGGCATTTCCACCATGCTTCTCTCCAGCCCTGTCTTACCCACTGAGGTAGTTTGGAGTGGCGGAGGGAGCCTGTTGATTTCAAGTTTAGCTCCCAGTCTTGGCTGTGGTAACACCTTTTCCAGAGGCAGGTTGCCCTGCAGTAACTGCGTCACCAGGGGATTGTTAGCTTCCACAGAAGACAGGCGGCAACTTGAGCTGCCCGAGCTTGGAAGTCTTTTCAGGGTGTCTGCAGCCAAGGGGACAGCCTCTTCCACGGGGATCGTGGTGGAAGGCTTCACTGCCTGTGCTGGTTGCACACTAGTACTGCTTGTCACCTCCGTGGCTGGAGGAGGACGCTCGAGGCCAGGGAAATCCTCAGTGTCCATTCTGAAGCCCTTGTCTGCTTCATGAGGTTCGGGCTTCACTGGAAGACTGACATTGGCGATGAGGTTCCTAGGGTGGTGGTCTGACGCGTGTGCATAGCTGGCGTGCTCTGTCTTGACAGCCTTCAGAGCACTCTGCTCTGGGTGTTCTTTCTGTTTACTCGAACCCGGATGACTAGCCACAGGCTGTCCTGTGTTTCTCATTGGGTCTTCACTCCAGCAAATCCGGTTTCCTGGGTTATACTGATTGCTACAGGCTGTGTCTGTTTCGGTCTTGAAAGCACTTGCATTTCGTGCCTGCTCAGCGAAGCCAAGACGGGGCGCAGTCATGTCATTTTGTTTATCTGGAAGAGCAAGGGGCAATTCTCGGAGACTGGTGCAAGCGGTCTGCACTGTCTTACAGTCCTGTTTGGCTGCAGAAGCAGCCATGAGAACAGGGCCGTGGTCTGCACCTTCACTGGTGACCTGCTCAGGTCTACTGATGACAGACACCTGAGGACATGCCACCGGCTGTATGGCTACCTCTGTCCTCAGGGACCGGCTCTGGGGATCCACACTTGCTTCTGCACTTTCAATGGAGACGGTCAGAGACAAACTGGAGGTCAGTGTCGTGCTGTGGTCTACGATGACTTTACACGGAATTGACCTGTTTATGGTTGCTGGGGCAAAGCCCCCTGGTGGCTGCTGAGGTTTTCCAGAATTGTCTGTCCTGTTCCGAGGTGCTGGGTTTTTGTCTGAGCTGTCCCCGCTTAGTTTGGGGGGACTGTCGTACGAGTTTATGGTGAGCACATTTCCCGCAAACATTGCAATGGGTTGGCGTGAGACCAGTGGATCGGTGACAGCCACTGAATCACCACCGCTGAGGGCTGTTCTCATGGTGGCCGCCATGGACACTGTGGCCTGTTCTTCACTCCCAGGCATGGCTATCTTTTCAGAAGCGAATCTGTTATTAATCCCTGTGGGGGGAATCAAGACAGAGCTAGTGCAGAGATGGTTTGGCAAACTACTTGCAGTGGTAGGAGCTGCCACAGAAGCGTACTGACTGGACACTAAGTTAGCAGCCTTGCTGCCGGATACAAGCAGAGCCTTACCATCCATGGAGTTAGACTGTCTAGTACCTTCTGGAGCAGCTGGGATAGGAGTCCTGTTGATGCATTTTGGTACAAGGGCTATGCACGGAGCGTCAGATCCCTGGATGGAATTCAACATGCTTATGTTACAAGCAGAAATCGTACTGTTTGTACTGTCAACAGACATGAGGACAGAGGATTTGTCAACAGGACTCACAAAGGGATGCTCTTTAATTGCTCCCGACACAGCAGTGCTGCAGACAGACATAGGGACGGGGTTGATGGGACTTTTATTTAGAAGTATGGGTACACTGCTATTTTCAGAAGAGGTAGATGAGACAATTTTCTCAGTTAAGTGTGACACAGGTATGTTGTCATCAGAACTATGCACGGACAAGTCAGTGGCAGTTTCTGGAATCTGAGGGGCATTCAGAGGCGGCTGTAATACAGTGGCGGTCTCCCGGATGTGTGTGGGCTTGCTGCTAGGAGATCTGCAGTTTGGATTGACGATGATGACACCAGCGGAGCCTTCCATCTTTGTTTCCGGGGTAGAAGAGGTTTCCATATTGAGAGATTCTTCCTTGGAGCTGACAGTAGGCAACCGGGTCTCCTTGCAGGTCTGGAAGAGGTGGCCCCTGGCCTGATGTTTCGCAAAGAGCTTAGCTTTGGTCTGCTCTTTGATGTGGGCCAGGGTTCTTGCCTTCCCACCCTCTCCTGGGCTTCCCATGGCCCCTGAGACAATGCTCGCTGCAGCTGCAACCGCAGCAGCTGCAGCAGCCTCGCGCTGGGCACGGGCTTGCTGGGCACGGGCCTTGATGTCTGCAAGGGTCCTGGCTCCTGTGTTTCTGCCACTGCTGACCGATGTGCTGGTGGATGCCCGGGACTCCGCTTTGGAGACTGGCTGGCTCTTGATGATGAAAGGTGGCCCAATTTTAGAAAGCTGTATCTGAAAGAAGAGGGGATGAAAAGATGTTAGTGCGTAACTACCAGTGGGGAGGCTGGTAGGGTACAGTAACCCAAAGGGAGGATGAGACTATGGCTATCACTCACCTTGTAGAGTGTTTAGCAAACATAAAAACCTGGTTTATATGTCTATAGTCCCAGCACTCAGGAAATAAAGGTAGGTGCTTCTCCATGACCAGGAGCCAGCCTGGTCTACATAACTAGTTTCAGGCCACACAGTGAGATCTGCTCTCACTGAGCTTGAGGCAGGCTGAGCCTCCATGAGAACCACTTAAAAACAAATGGTTAGTGGGTGGGGTTGAGTGGCATTCAGTTATAATGTGGATTGAAATATATCTCAATGCCAGAACATACCATTTAGGATATAAACAAAAAGTACAGAATGAATATGACAATGGAGTCTTCCATCTATAAAGGCATCAGTCAGAAATTTCATTTAGCAAAATATGAGGGATCTTGTTAAGGTCATGTATGAATAGAACAAATGTCATGCTTCTTAGCATGAGATTAGCTCACACCTGGTGGAACACACTTGTATCTTAGAGTCTGAGGTTAGCCTATTTTGTAGAGTGAGTTCCAGGCCAGCCTGGGCAGCAGAGGGAGACTATGTCTCAAAAAATAGGTGATAAATAAGTAGAAAGGTAAGTAGGTAGATAGGTAGGTAGGTAGGTAGGTAGGTAGATAGATAAATATAGATGACATAGATAATTAGATGGATGATAGATGATATAAATAGAAATATAACTGATAGATGATAAATAGATATGTTGATTGATTATAGATGATAGATAGGTGATAGATGATAGAGATATATAGATAGATGGATGATAGATAAATGATAGATTATGTAGATAAATAGATCAAAGATAGATATATAATAGAAAGATAGATGATAAATAGATATATTGATTGATGATAGATAGGTAACAGTTGATAGAGATAGATAGATAGATAGATAGATAGATAGATAGATAGATAGATAGACAGAAATAAAGGAAAAATACTTACTTTTAAAACTACCTTTCCTGCTAGAGAAAAACAAACCAACTGAGATGTTTACTCATTTTAGCCTCCCTTCATTTAGTCCAAAAAAAAAAAAAAAAGCTCTGGCCAGGAATCCCGGAGACAAAAATTGTCATCCTGGCTCTGTGCAAAGATGACCATCTTTTGGAAGGTCACTGTGTGCCTCAGTGGCTCCATGGTCGGAGGGTGGTACAGTTTTGACTGACTCTCATCAACACCTGGCATGCTGCTTACCATGTGCAAAGGAACTCTATGAAAACTTCTAAACTTTCTGGTCAGTGGCTTTATATACACAGAGGATGCTGTACTTAAGCTCTCTCTTGACATTTTCATAAAATCACATGTGGGTGACTTGACTACTCCTGCATTTCCAAAAAGAATATCAGCTGGGTGATTTCCTTTAATATCGATCATCTATTGATACACTGCACCTGTCCCAGTCTACACCACTTACCTCATCATGATGGTCAACAGGCTAAAGGGTCATTAGCTCATTTATGAGGCACAAGAATTAGACTATAGCTTCCCATGGGGAAGTCTGTGATGACCTTATCGTTAAGAACACCCTCAGAGTCAGTTCGGGGGCTGAAAGGGTCTAGTTCCTGTCCTTGTTTCAAACTTAGACATTGTCTGTTCAGATAATTTTACAATTAGATAATGGCAGAGAGTCTGTGGACACCTAAGTTGGCTGTTCATGGGTATATTCTCCCTGTCCTTCCCCTCTCCATTTAGAACAAGATTTCCCCAGAATATTTATACGTGTCTCCAAAACATATGTCTACATGGACATTATAACTTCTGGACTGGTACTGGATCTTCCCACCTAGGCTGCATTTCTGGACATTTAGTAGAACGTCTCTATCTGAGCAATCTATTTTACTGATGTACAAACTGCTTATAAGTCACATTCTCCAATCCATGGCCAAGAATCACCTGTTTGCCAGAGGGATTGGTTACATTTTTTATTCTAAATATTTCCCTTAGCCTAAATAATTAAACATATTAAAACTCTACCTAAATCTGCTTAATCAAGATATTCCAGCCACATACTAAGTATATATTTAGTTTCCTTTTGTACTGAAAACATATATCATCTATCATACATTTATCCTATACCTACCTAGTCAATCTATTAATACATATTTAAATAAAGTGCATAGTAGTCTGAAAATCAGCTTTTGATTAGAAAAACAACACTGTCATATCTAAAAAAAATTCCTCCAAAAAGCATAGTTATGTTTTTCTTTCTATGGTTTACAAAATTAAACAGCAGAGAGGCTTATTAATTGCTGTTTGCAATAGATCTTTAAATGTTTAGAGACTTATTTAATAGAAACTGCTTTAGTAAGTTGAATAACTATAACCACACTTTTAACACTCAGCCTTGTAAAGATCCCGAATCACCTACAAAATTGGATGTAACACAGCAAAAAACTAGTACTTTTTAGAAGCTTAATATGATCTTAATTCTACAGCAACCTGTAATGAGAAAATTATCCTTTGTCTAAACATAAACTGGCATGACAAAAGCCACAAATGAACATAACAAAGCAGAGCAAAATTTAAAATCCTCTGATTTTTCTTTTGAATTAAAATTTTCAGTTTTCTGATCCATCTATATATTCTTTAACATACGTATTTTCTTAAAATAATAAAAGATAAACTGATCCAGGATAAAATCAAAGTATTTAAACAGGATTATCTGTCCATAAAGCTTTATGATTTGATGTCCTCTGAGGTCTCTTAATAAACAGTCTTAGATTTATTGACACATTATTGATACAGCTATTGCATTCTCTGACAGTTCACAAAGGAATTGTGTTATTTTGCTTAAGAAGTATATAAGAGTGCCCCTAAGCCATGCACTCTATCCTTGGCAGTGACAGTGGCTGTTCAATGTTTGTTGGGCCCTCATCTCTCAGTGCCAGCTCTGCTTCTGATGCAAGCCGATAGAACGTTAACATATCTCATACTTTCCCAAGTCTCTCATCTGTACCATGAGATGTATAAAAGTCCCGACCTCTTTGTAGTATGTAGGGGCCCCTAGGCCCTGCTCTTCTCCTCATTGTTCTTAAATCCTGCTTTCAAACATGTGGATAATTCAGATCTTTGTGCACAGAAACAATGTATAGCTTATTAGTTTTTTTTTTAAATGTATGTTAATGCATGCTGCATTGTCCTTGCAAGTACCACGGGGGACAGAAAGCTTCAGATACTCTGGAACAGGAGTTAAAGATGCTATTGAGTCACCTGATATGGATGCTGGCAATGAACACGGGCCCCCTGCAAGAGTGGTAAGTGTTCTTAGCCACCAGTTTATCTCTGAAATCTCCTCTATGCAGTTTTTTAAAAAATAATTATGTTAGAGTGGGCATGAGTAGATTACAGTTTTCTATGTGAAGCCTAAAGAAATATCCAATTTCTGAAAATTAAGTTTCTAAGGAAAGGACCATATCTACAGATTAGTCTGTTTAAAATACCATACCTTGAGAGGGGGAACCCGGGGCTCCTCACGTGGCAGCTGCTCTTTCTCAGGTGGACTGCTGGAAGCTAGGCCCCGAGCTGACTGGTCATCTTCTATCCTGGCTCGTTTTTCTTTACATATTCCAAAGCTATGTTCCACAGTCTTCCTCTTTGCTATCTCTGACTCTCTGCTTTCATTTCTTATCCCATCGGGTGACTTGGAGGGCTCTGATACTTTGGAAGTATATGGGGTCTCCAATCGGCTCAGTGTACTGGCCTGCTTATGCATTTTGTTTCTCGAGCCTTCTAGGAATGGAGCCTTATCTACTGATGGCACGTATGGCTTGTCCTGTAGTTTAGCTGCTGGAATATCACTCCCCTTAGTCTCCGTCTCCTCAGAAAAGACAGGGAATTCCAATGGTGAAGACACCCCTTTCTTTTCAGTTCTTTGCAGGACACTATGGTTTTTAACTTTCATCATTTCTGTAGAAGGAAGTTCTGGGATGGAAGGAGTGTAGAGCTTCTCCATTTCGATGTGAGAGTGGCAAGGCTCCTTACTCAGAGTCTGGCTGTGCAGTTCTTCAGGTGGCAGTGCATCAGGCACAATGGAAGAACTCATGTTGATGGGTTCTGGAACGTTGGACAAAGGCTTTGGGTGGGAGACAAGGTTCTCTCCCAGGGACTTGGTGGGGACAGAAGGTTCATCTTTCTGTGGAGAGAGAGCTTCTTCAGATCCCGAAGGTGACTTTCTCTGTTGATGTACCATTCTTTCACTCATGGAAGAATTAGAAATTGGAGAAGTCTCTGCAGGAATTGGCAAACTGGATACAAAAGGTGTCTCAGTGGTGAGTAGCATGGAAGACACTGAGGAAGTTTCTGACGTCAGTGGTAAATCAGACATTGGAGATGCTTCTGATGTCAGAGGTAAGTTAGACACTGGGGATGCCTCGGATGTCAGAGGTAAGTTGGACATAAGAGATGCTTCTGAGATTTCAGGTGAGGTGGCTAGTGGAGAGACCTCTGATACTAAAGATGCATGAAGGCTATCATCAGCAGGATTCCTCTGGTTGTACTTATCTGTATTCTCAGTGCTGGACACCTCAGAACAGAATGTTGTTTCCAGAGAGGCTGGGGTGCACGACTCTTCAGATGTGGACTGTGTTTCCCCACCTGGGGATGGAAGGCTGGCACATGCTTCCTCTGGGCTCTCAGAGGAGAAGGAAGTCTCAGAGATGCAAGCATTTTCCGAGAGCTGTTCTTCAGGGTCACTCTGCAGCTCCATATCTACAGCAATTCCCTCATTTGGAAGCTGGCTTTCCAGAGAAGATGGCTCTGCTCCCAGAGCTATAGTGCTAGTCTCTATGGTGGTTTCTTGTTCCTTCTGTTCTGCATCAAGGACATGAGTGACAGATGAAGTGCAAGGAACAAGAGAGTCGCAGATTTCCAGTTGGTCAATGACAACTGACATTTCTTCCTGGGGACATTCCAATTTCTCATCTATCTTCACTTCAATATGAGGTAAAGTTTCTAAAATATCATTCATTACTACACAGGACTCCAAGCCATCTTCAGGTGCTACTACCTGGGGCTCTTCACAAGAGGTGGCTGGACTTTCAGAATCCTCGGAAATCTCAGGGATGCTCTTATGAGTTTCATCTTGACATTCATAAATACTTGTCTCTACCTCTTCTGCCACTTCCTCCTGAATCACAGATTCCTCGGGGATAAAGATGTCTTCTGTTTCTGATTCTGTCATTACATCCTTCACTGGAACCTCTAACATTGGACAAATGGTAGTGCAGAAGTCGGGCTCTGAGGAAGCTGAAGTTTTCATGATTTTTGGTTGCTGTTCTTGTAATGCAGTCTGTGCCGAAGCACCCGGAATGCCAGAGTTCCCGTGGGAGGAACTCCCTTCAGCTCCGTCATGGCTTGGTCCAGAAGTAAGCTTCACAGATTCTTCTCTGGACATGCCCAATCTGAGTAAAAATTAGAGATATCATTGTTCAGCCACAAACAAAGGGCACAGATTGGATCTCTTACAAGTTCAGTATTCAATAAAGGTAAATGCATTGAGTTAATTATAATCAAAATCATAATGTGACTTAATCATAAGTCACATGATTAATTTGTGCTAAGTAGTTCCTGATATATCCCCAGTGCTGCCTTTATACATAAAAGAAGCTGCAGCTAATTAAGAAAGGCAATTTTTAGTTTATGAGCAAAGAGTTACGTGAATCTTACCAAATATTAGTAAAAGGAATTTGAATATTACAAATAACAATGAATCAGAGAATATGGTCAGAAAAATCAAAGAATAAAAAAAAAACCTACTTTTTTTGAAGTCATAAAATAAAAAAAGATGTCTCTATAATATAAAAATTATAGTCTTTAATATGTAATAGAAATAATTAAATAAATAGGAGTTTCATGAACTATATTGAATTTTAAAATTGAAATGATTTTCAAAGATTGGGTATCTTAAAACAATCTAAGAAATGCTATGCAATCTTTATCTTACTATCTAATTCTCTAAGTAAGTATGAAGAATAATAAAACAACTTAGAATTAGTATTCTACCAGATACTTGTGTCAACCAAATGTATGTGCATGCCTTAATATGAAGCTCTTCCATACTGGATAGAAGAGAAAAATCCCAAGATAATCTATCTTAATGTTGGGTCCTCAGTCAAGGCTAAGTAAAATTACAGTGAAATTTGCAGCGTGTCACTGTTTTCTTCATATTAATTGGCAGCATCAGCAGCAGATGGCAGAGGAATACATTATAAATGAAGCCAGAGTTAGGGTGTAGGCAATGAAAAGGTTTGGATAGTAATATTCTTAGGAAAACTTAGAGCAATGAAAAGACAAATGGTGTCAGTCAACTGAAAAGGGTCTCGTGCTGTTGCAAATCTTTCACAGAGTGGGGAGTCTAAGGAATGTAGGAACAGCAAATAAAAGAGGTTGCTACTGTCATGTGGCAGCTCTCCAACATGAATTAATTAATATATGAAAGAGTAAAGGATAAGTTAAGTGATGTCCTAAGTAAAAAACAAAAACAAACAAACAAACAAACAAACAAACAAAACCTACTGATGATGGACCACAGTGGTGGTTCTCATCCATCATCACCTTTTAATAGAGTTTCTCATGTTGGTCCACCAACCAAAAAATCATTTTCATTTTTATGCCATAGCTATAATTTTGCTAGTGTTTTAAATTGTAATGTAAATAGCTGACATACAACTCCTGTGAGTCACTTGACCCCCAAAGGGGTGGTAACCCACAGTTTGAGAACCACTAGTCTACAGGAAGAAAATGCTCTGGAGGATGATCGTGTGTTTCAGAGTGAGACATGGGTGGTTGGAAACTGTTACTCATGGCATTGTAGCTGACATCTTCTGTGGCAATGCCTAGTCATCAAATGTGCTTGAGAATCGGGAAAGTATCGGAACTCCGTAGGGGGAAAAATGTGCATGTTTGCGAATTCTTTTTACGGGAGTTACTTGTGGAATTCAGGTTTTGAACAACTTATTGAACTTCCTTATACAGGCCATAATATCTAGCATCACATTCCCTGCTACCTGTCTAACCTTTTATAATAACATCAGTGCAGTCCGGGTGGGTTTCAGCCTTGTCCCTCACAGTTCTCAGTGCTGCCCGGCTTGAACATGACCTAGAAAGCCTCTAACAATGTGAATTTCTGGGTTCAAACCCTGGAGATGCTCCGTCAATATATTTCAAGTGGGTCTTGAAATCTGCGCATATGTTTACATTTTCCCATGGGAGATTCTGATGCTGCAACCCTGCTGGCGCCAGCACATGGAGACCTGTCGCTAGCCTGCCTCGTCTGGGAGTTGTGAGAAAGCGTACATGTGCATCCAGGGAGCCTGCCAGAGCAGGCAAAGACCTCCCTGCTAATGAGGACAAGTCACCACTGCTGGCCCATGCTGAACAGGAAGCCTCTCTGTGAGTGCGGATGTGGATGTGTGTACGTGTGCTTTCCTGTGTGTGCAGCTGCATGTGTGCACGTGGGCGTGTGTGCATGAAGAGTAAAGTCGCTCCCAAGTGTTTTTCCTCAGATATAATTCACACTGGATTAATTTTATTAGTTAGTTTCTTTATCCATTTCTTTATTCATATATTTATTTATGTATGTGTCAATGTGTCTACATGAGTGTGTATGTGTACATGTGTGCGTATATATGCGTACGCACAGAAGCAAGGAGAGGGCATCTGATTCCTTGAAGATGGTTATAGGTGTTTTCAGAATGCCATCTGCATGCCTCCCCCCATCTGTGTGTGTGTGTGTGTGTGTGTGTGTGTGTGTGTGTGCTGTGTCTGCATGCAACTTGGTTTTTGATTCTGTCCCTAACTTTCAAGCTTACCAAACAGATAAGGACAGCTGACCAGCAAGCCTACCTTTACAGTGCTAAGATTATGAATGTGCCACCACACACACCTTTTGGTTGGTTCTGGAGCTTCCTGTTTGCACAGGAAGCACTCTATGGAGTAGGCTAGTCCCCTTTGCACACATACAGCCCCTTTAATAGGGATTACCTGCACATGCAGGAAAGCGCAAGTGACATTCCTGGGGTTGTCAAAACACTGACAGGAAAAATTTATGACATGAAATGGCACAGAAGATGTTACCTGAAGCCATCTCTGTACCCTTCATAGAAACATCAGTCAGCACAATTCCCTCTATGAAGATCTGGAGCTACAACCATTAGTTTCCGTATCTCCTTCCTTAGAAATCTGACTGAGACAGAGATTCTTTGCAATGTCTCTCTGCTAGACAGGATATGGGGGCGAGGGAGGTCTGCCTGCCTTCAGGTTAATTCAGGTACTACTGTGGATACATGTGCTTGCTAGTGTTTATTTTTATTTTTTTTAAAGAAGCATGGAGATGGTTCAGCAAGTAAAAGTCCTAGCCACAGAAGCAAGATGACCAAAGATTACTATTCAGAACCCATGCAAATGGCTGGATAGAGTGTGGAGCATGCCTATGCTGAGTTGGGAGGCAGAGGCCTCCGCTGATGGCTCCAGGTGGCCTGGAACACACAAATGATGGCAGAGACCCTGGATCAACAAGGTGGAAACAAAACAGAGTCCCAACTGTTGTTCCCTGACTTCACACAGGACACAGATGCTGTGACATGATGCTCCTCATATAGAAACATATACACATGAACACATTTTTTTAAATAAACCAATACACATGCGCACTCAAAATGTTTAATAAAACTGGGCTACGCAGATGAAGTGGAAGACATACCTCAGCTTCTCTCACAAGAACTCTCAACTTCTCTCAACACAAGAACTAAGCACATGCTAGCATGGAAACATGAAGTCACTATTTGCAGGAGAATTGAATGTGTCTAAATTACTTGTCCCTACAATATTCACTAATGAAAATACTTGTATAAAATCTAAGGGAATTTTATCAAAATCCACTTAAGAAAACCACAATCGACTTCTTCAGGATTTCACTGTAATTTTTGGACTAAGATGATTTTCATGGACACATTATAAAGCTTGAAAGAGCGTTTTAAAAATTTAAGTGCTGATATGTCACTATAATTTTACCTGCAGCTTCGTACATTGGGGACCATTGCCTTTTATCACGGGTTTATTAAGTTTTACAGCATACGAGGGTGCCGTGCGAAGCAGAGAATTACACTTTCATTTCCTTCCAGCAGAGGTGAGAGGAAAGCTCTCGTACTTACCTTTCTCCATAAAACCTCTCGAAAAATTTTTCTTTCCAAGGTTCTGTTTTCTTTTCCTTCTCAATTTCTTGCCTTATTCGTAATTGCATTTCTGGGGTAAACTCTCCTAGAAAGAGATTGGCAATGGACTCAATTAAAATGGTCACGTGTTCTGTCAATTCAAAAAGACCACATGTCACTCATTTGAGTAACCCTCACTGGAAGTTGAAGGTAAGAAATGTAAGGATCAAATCTCTAATATCTCCCCTTTTAGGAACATCGCTCAACTGGTCATTTCACATTACAACAACTCTAAAATATTTGGCAAAGGTATTACATGCTACGGGCTGCGAGTAAAACCATACATCCAGTGTCCTGGAGGAAATCATTCTGATGGATACAGAAGGCATATAATGGACTATGAAATATTGTCAAAAGCCCTGTACTGGCCATAAGAATAATATATGCATTGAAAGTAGAGATAGGACAGCATTTAATTTTTCTTAAGTCAATTAAGGAGGATTACATTCAGCAGTTGATTCTTGAGTTAGCTTTTAAAGGGTGATCGAGCTCTTGTAAGTGATTAAATCACAAAGCACGGAGACATGAATATATTTATGTCCTTTTGAGTGGCCAATTCTGAGCAGAATGTAGGATGAAATTAAGAAAGGCTGAAACCAATTACCCAATGCACACTCTAAGCAGAAATCAGCATTTCCTTCAAGAGACAGGAGCTCCTCATGGCATCCCATGAGGGAAGAGCAGAGATAAATAGTCTGGAAAGATAGGTGACAAGGTGGTGGAGAATCCGCAGGACTCCTGCCTCAAGACTTCTGAACAGCAATGGAGGGAAAGATGCAGGTCACACGTGGACCAGCAGCAGTGGGTAAGCCAACAGCTATCCAATTCAAAAGCAGAGTTATAGGTACTGTCAGTTTCCAAATACCCGAGTGTGAGGGTGGAGTGACAGCTCAGAGAGAGCAGAAGGAAGAACAAAAACACAAGGGGAAATTGTAGGCTTAGTAGAGCATTTGGGATTCAGTGTGTGTGGAACAGGCTACTGGGATCCGCAAAGACTGAAAAATGTTCCCGTGAAGTGCAGGAACCAGCCAGAACTGGAAGATTACAGACAATAGCCTAAACCCAGGTGGTAAACAAAGCTGCTTGAAGAAAACATACTGTTCAAAAGAAAGTGTTATGTTAGAGATGTCATTATTTATTGTAAAAAAAGGAGTTCCCAAAGGAAGCAGTGAATGGACTGTGAACAATCTGAAATATACTATGACTCTTTAAGGCACAGTGTTTGATATGAAATAGGGTTTTTAAAAGTGCAAACAAACAGAACAACATGCGGTGTGATAAAAGAAGTGGCACAAGAGGACTGAGGAGAAGGTGTGAACAGTAGGGACCAGCATTCCCAGGTGTCCTTCCCACCTGGGCCGACAGCTGGGAGTGAGGGGAACAATGCACAGCATTGGGCTTCTGAGTCTTTCTAAAAGGCTGGGTTGAGTTTAAAGGAGGTGAGGACAGAAGGTTCAGTGTGCCCTTAGAGCCCAGGACATTGAGGAAATACAATGGATTAAACTATGTCATAATTTCAAAGGAATATTATTTAACAAAATGTATATGAAAAGTCCATGATATGTTACACATTCTTCAAAAAAATGCCCGGTATTCAAAAGGCTTGTTATCATCAAAGAATTAGTGAGTTTCTTAGTAAAGGGTGGCAATGTACTAAGTGAAAATGCATTTCAGGGAGGACCGGGGGAGACCTGGAAGTCAGAGGACTAGGTCAAGTTCAGTAGAGCATGTGAGAGTGCACTCCACAGAGTGTGAGCACTCTAATGGGTGCGCTCTACAGCGTGTGTGTGCGCTCTGCACAGTGCGTATACTCTACAGCGTGTGTGCCCTACAGAGTGCGTGCGCTCTAACGGTGGGTGTGAACTCTAGCCGTGTGTCTGTTCTCTAACAGAGCGCATTACTGTCCTAGGTCCTCTAGCAGGGCATGTGCCCTCTAGCACTGCGTGTGTGCTCTAGCGGAGCATATGCATTCTAATACTGTACACAGGTTCTAATGTAGTGAGAACTCTAGCAGACCGTGTGTGTGTGTTTTGTGTTCCAGCAGGGCGTGTGCACACTGACGTGGTACAGGCACCGTAGCAGTGGGTGTACTGTAACGCAGTACCTGTGAGCTAACGGAGTGTGCACGCTCCAACATAGCACCTGTGTTGTAGCATAGTACACATGCTCCAGTATGTCTCACAGTAACAGAAAACTAAGCTTTACCTTCTGCCAGTCGCTGCTTCCACCCTTGTGCTGCATATGCAAAGAATTCGTTATTTAGAGCTGAAGTACTGAGGCGTAAAATTCCATCACTGCCCATCTAGGAAATAAGCCGACAAAACAATATTCGATCAGAAATAATTCAGAGTGAAAGCATGCAAAAGGGAAACAGAGTTGAGTTCTCTCTCTCTCTGTGTGTGTGTGTGTGTGTGTGTGTGTGCATGTGAGTGAGTATGTGTTTTTTTTTTTTTTTTGTGTGTGTGTGTGAAGGAATGATGTAGGAAGAAGGAAGAAAAGGAAAAGGAACTGAACCAATGACTCCCTGGTTATCAATCACATGCCTTCTGCTTGCTGACTTCCAGCCCAGAGACAATTAGTGCCATCTCTGGCTACAGTTGGGCTGATTATAGGAGATAAAAAGATAGAGCACAGTCAAGCAGGGAATGCGGAGGGCTGAAAGATGCTGAGGGGATGCATGGGTGGGCAGGAGTAGTGGAGAACGAGCATGCAAGAAGTGGAGTCAGTGTGGTGCTGAGAGCATAGGCCATACTGCCAAAGAGCAAGCATGTAAGTTCATATATGGGACATGACAAGGATCTGTTAAATAATTTGCATGTGTGTGTATGTACCTGTGTGTGTGAGGGCAAGTAAACACTAGTGCTCATGGCTGTGTTGTGTGTATACTGTGGTGTGAATGTAGAAGTCAGTGGATGCCATGCTTGGTGGTTTCTCCCCTTCCACCATGTGGATCCTGGTGGTTGAACCCGTGGCATCAGGCCTGGTGGCTAGTGCTGTCCTTGTGGGGCCATCTCACCAGCCCACAAGGAGATGCCATATGTCCACGCTTTTATTATTCCTTCTAGTCTCCATCTTTGGCCATACAAATAACCATCTTAAAGATTTAATGCAATGGTTGTGTGAACATATCATCAGATAAATCATCTCTCAGGAGTAAAGAGGAATATGGATTCTGAAAAAACATACTATCTGGTCCAGACTGGGTTACAGAAAATCAAACTGAGAGAAGGCAGACATCAGGAACGTGAGAGGTCTGATGACTAATGGGAGGGCAGCAGAGGGGATGCTTACCAGCTCCATCTAAGGAGAAGCTGGACACCACTCAAATACTCAGTGTTCTGACCAATTTTACACAAGATTTCCTCCACTCATTGCTTACTCTCTATGTCACCGTTATTTAACAGGAACTTCTTAGGCCACCAGTGTGAGCTGACTTACCTGGTCCTTGTGTGGGTGCTAGCAATGGAGAAGAAGTCCCTCTCCCTAAGTTCCCAGTACATGTTACATGGACCAAATGATTCTGTTTCCTCCCGAGCCTTTCCCTTAATCTGTGCTCTGTGTGACTGGGATGGTTAGTATTGACTGTCATTTTGACAGAATGTAGAATCATCTAGAACACAAACCTCAGGGCACACCTGTGAAGAGGTGTCTAGATTGTGCTAATGAGTACAAGAAGCCCACTCTACATGTGTGTGGTAGCACTCCATGGGTTAGAGCCTAAATGCAAAGAATAAAATGAGCCAGGAGCCAGCATTCATCAATGTCTGTTCCTAGCTGCCACTGTCATGATGTCCCTACTGTGATAAACTGGATAAGCTATGAGCCAAGATAAAGCCTTTCTTCAGTTGCTCCTTGTCAGGTATTTGGTTACAGTAACTTTTAAAGTAAGTAGCATAGTAGCCATGATAAAGTTTTATGGTCATCAAGACAAAGCCTCTACCTTTTGTGAAAAACACTGCACAATCTGTCTTTTGACTGGATAATTCTAGAGCATCATTCTTGGAATTCGGTTTAACCACTTTTTCATTAGGTGTTATTGTTGGTAAGTTTCCAAAGCCTAGGATACGTGGATCTTACAGCTGAGAGTAGAATGGGGTAGTCCCAGTACCCCCTTGCCTACTGTGCATCCTGTCCTCCAAGTTCTACATTTAGTGAGATTAGAAGCCCACTTCCACCCTGGATCAATCAATTCTAATTGGACATGTTGCTCATTTTGATGCTAGTGTTGTTTGGGGGTCACAAATGCCCTGTGCATTGTAACAAAATTAGTAGCATGTCTGGTGCATGACCAACCCCCTCCAAGAATTTGTGACAGGCAGTCTTCATGCAAGTGCTATGAGAGCTAGAATGAAGCCAGCAGTGGTGATGCTCCATCCAGATCCTGAAGCCCACACAAGACAAACCAGCCAGGAAAATGGTCAGATGCCCTAGTCCCTCCCAAGTCTATAAAGTCTTAGACTTCTGCTCTAGTCCAGAGGTCTTGAATGTAACCTGCAGGAATAACCTGGGAACAACGCAGGTCCATGAGAAACACGGGTGACTGCAAATAAGACATAAGCCAGAGAATTTGGGCTTTAATCTCTGCCTGGGACTGGCCTACTGAGTGCTTCTCAAGTAAATGTGACATTCTGGATTAGTGGCCTCCCTGCCAAAGTGTCTCCTTTAATTTACTTCTACATTTTATGACATTTTCTAGCTTGAGTCACAAGGCAGAGGATCCATGAGGCCCTATTCTAGGAAACAGAACTCCCTCTAAAACTGATGACATCTCAGAAAAATCTAAAAGATCTATGCCTACAAAGGTGGCTTCAGGTATGTGTAAAGATGAAAAGGGGAGGGGCAGCGGATATGGAGTCATTGATAAATGCTGTTGGAAGAGGTAGGGGACAGATGATCAAAGGACAGTAAGTGATGGTGATCCTCAGGACTGGTGAAGGTCTTTGGGGTCAAGGAGGCCAGCGCACGGTGAGTATCTCGGAGGAAGAGCTAAAATCTCCTAGTATCACTCTGGCAGGAGGAAGTTAAAGATGTCTGCCTTTGAGGCCAAGCAGATTTTCCAGAAATGTTGCCAGTGTGTCCAGTGGTCTGTTTCTAAGCCTGGAATGTGGACAAAGCCTGCGTGAGGGTCCCCACGGTGCAGGAGAAAGGCTACTCCACTGGGAGAGAGGAAAAAAAGAGTAGTGGGTATGGGGCAAGTTTCCCACAAAGCAAAGGAGCCTGTGCACGGAGAATACCTGTGTTTACACATGGATTTACACATGTGTTTACACCTCGGGATGGGGAGGAAGGAAGTGTTCTGTGTTTAGGGACACGCATGGAACTGACCCATCAACAACCTATGTGATTTGCAGAGTCCCCAGTGTTCTCCATAATGGTTTTCTGGCTAGCTTTATTTTGGTTAGTGGAAGATTTGAAATTTATCTCTGGCAGATCACCTACAGAGTTCTCTTCCACATACTCTGCCAAGCTTGGGGCTCAGTTACTAATTTTAAGACACAAAGGAACATCAGATCCAGGGTAGCTCTGACAGCTTCTCAAGATCTGAGCACATGAAGATGCAGTGTGATATAAACACACTCTAGAACATGGAAGCTAGCCCTGGAGAAAGATCATTTTCTCTTCAAATAGCAAGTACATCAACAGTAAGGTTCCCAACCTATGGGAGACAGCACAATTAAACACCACGGCTAAAACAGACTTAGGAAATGTGTGCCAATAAAACTTTTAAAATACACTATTAATTTTATGGCCCTTAAAAATACTGTCTGAAAGATATAACACTTTAATGAACTAGAACAATAAACATTTCTGAAAGGTTAGTTATTTATTGATGAGCTATAAATTCTGTTTTTTATTAGCCATGATAGAAACATTCATTCTGAATAAATCTTCTCTCATGATGAAGTGTCTAGCTAAGCTATTGATTAGCCGTGCTTCCTTTTAAATTAGCAAGAAAAAAAAAAACTGACCAAAATTATTTCTCCAGGGAAAATAAGAGTAAGGAGAAGTGGATTCAAGCACAGATTCTGAGATGATCCAAAGGTTTAAACTTTCTTGACGCGTTTATTGTTTGCCTTTGCTGTTGGTTACTAAAACATTTTAACTGGTTGTGTTAATGCACTCCTGTAATCACATTCCTATGAGGTTCATTCAGGAGGAGTATTATGAATTTTAGGTCTGCCTGGACTCCAAGATGATATTTCATTTCAAAAACAAAAAGCAAAACAAACAAACAAAAATTTCGAAACAAAAGTGACAGAAATATTTGGGCATGGATATATGTCAGGTAGAAGTGACAGAAATATTTGGGCATGGATATATGTCAGGTAGAATTTAAAGCATTAAACAAACACTATGCAATATTATCTAACAATTGAACTTACACTTAATAAAATAATTTTTTCAATTTTGTGTGTGTGTGACAGAGAGAGAGAGAAAGAGAGAGAGAAAGAGAAGGGGAAGGGTCCGATTCCAGGGTCTCATATAGCCCAGGCTGGCCTCACTCTAGCTAATGCTGAACTTAAACTTCTATTCTTCCTCCTTCATCTTCCAAGTGCTGATATCACAGACCACCAAGATCAATATATTACCTAACTATTACTATTTTCTCTTTTATGTTTTCTTATTTTGCCTCTTCCAGTCACTTCCCTGCACAGTAAGAACACTCATTAGAGGAACATGAGAAGTGGAAAACGGGCAACAATGCATCTAGAAATACAAGCAACTTAGACTTCATTCTGTAGACAGTGGAGAGCTGTTCACTGTAAAGCCAAAATCTGGTGAAAAGAATCAAGTTAGTGCCCATAAGTAAGCTGGGTGCTGGTTTACTCTGACAGTGTTAGGGTACTCTCTCCTGTATTCACTGTTAAAAAAGGAGCTAACTGTGGCCACACTTGGAGGAAGTGGGAAAGAGCATATTTGGTAAACATCGAGGCAAGGAATAAAAACAGAGTACTCAGGTGTGGGAGGGAAGAAGAAGGAGTGAGGCACCTCAATATCACGGGCAGCATGGCTGGCAGCAGGTCCTCCTGGTCCTGGACTCCATGTAACATTCAGCTTGTCCACTGATGGAGTCAGCTAGACATGATTAAATCTGATATCTTAAAGGGGCTGTTCAGACTTTGGGGAAATGGCGTCCTAACATGGATGTAAGGTGAGGGAGTGTTGGAAAAATGATATGTATTATGAATGTGCTAACAGCCATCAAAACACTTAGAATTACTTAGGTCAACAGAGTATGCAGAGCCCTGTGCAAACTGTTTTGTTCCCATTAAAAAATAATCAATACGATCTTTAGAGGAA